AAAAAAAAAAAAAAACAACGGAATTCTGGCTTGTCATATTGTCCCCTTTTGGGGGTTTTGCCCGTTACTTAGATTGGTGTTCACTACATGGATGGGTGGGTGGCAAGTTTCAGTAGCGGGCTCGGGCCACCGGTGTCCAGACCTGTTTCCACTCACTTTCCAGTCCATTCGCTATGTCAAAAGAAATCAAGACTGAACCTGGGATGCACCGCCAGTGGTGGGTAGCAGCTGGAGATGCGAATCACGTCCGTATAACAACTACCTGGCCACATTTTTTCAGCTTCGAATGAATCTACCCTTTGCAGCCTCCTGAATACCCAGTGGGGAATCTTGGGCCCGTTGGAATCGGTGGCCATTTAAACCCCCAGTACTTCTAGAGGCACTTTTCTTTGGTGCAGGAAACGCACTTCACACGCCAAAAAAAAAGGAACCGGCGCCCCCCTCCTTTTGGCTGCTGCCGCCAGCCATTTTGCTCCAGAGGCCGAGGCCCGGAAGTTACACCAGGACACGGAGCCGCATTTGGGTCTCGCTCCACTACACTAGACTCTCGAAAATTCTTGTTCTCATTCCGTAATTGGGTCTCGCTCCACTACACTAGACTCTCGAAAAATTCGAGAGTTCTGCCTCGCTCCACTTATTAAACTAGACAAACCTCTCGAAAATGTGTGTCTAGTGCTGTCAGAAAATGCTCCAGACGACAGGCCTTTAAAAAAATAAAAAAAAATAAAAAATAAAAAAGCTCCAGACGCGCACTCCCTACTTCTCTAGAGTGGCCCATCCTGCAACACCCGTTTCCTATAGGGTCCTCCATTCTGGTCTTGAAACAATGCCAAACAATTTGCGCATCTACCGCAAGTCTGGGTGGACAAACCAGGCTGGCGCTGTCACGTTGTGGAATGGGACAAATCAGACTGGACTCTTGAATGTTCAAGTGTCTGTCTAGAGTAGCACCCTCTAGTGTAAGTCGAGTGAGGCCGACTTTTTTTTTATGCTTTCTAGAGTCTGACAACGCTCGACCAACTCTAGACTTTTTCTTTCTAGAGTCGAGTGTAGTGTAACGAGACCCATCGATGGCCTCCATCTCATTACAATTCTCAAAACGTACAATTTTTTTTTAAATATCAGAACCTCTGACCAATCCTACAGTCACACACTCGAATCACTGACAGGTTGGGTCTGTCTTCGACTTCACCACCCCTTTTTTTTTTTTGAAACGTCAGACTCTGATACACGTCGTTACTGCGCACATAAAATTTACGTTTCGATTCTTCAAACTGCCTGACACATATTTTCCCGGCCTTTGCGCAGTTCCTTGCCCACAGGTCTGCCTTTTCATTTCATATATCGATCGTCTTTTGCTGTCTGCTGTGCTGACTATGGTCCTGCTCCACCACTCTCTCCAATTCCATGCAAAAAAATAAAATAAAATTGAGAGCGCATGGAGAGCTGTTAAACTCCGAGAGTGGAAAGCAACTGCCGCTTCGACCACTCTTGACTGATTTTTATCAGATATGTACTGCTATAAGAAGACAAAAAAAAGAAAAGAGAAAAAGAAAAGAGAAAACGAAAAGAGAAAAAGAAAAGAGAAAAAGAAAAGAGAAAAAGAAAAGAGAAAAGAAAGAATACACTACACCGGCCAGTTTGAACTGGAGCCCAACTCTCGTTTTTTGCGGGTGGTCCCCACCTCTCTTCCAACTCTTTCAGATTCTGCAGACTGGGGCCCTCTTCCTCTCTTCCAACTCTTTCAGATTCTGCAGACTAACTGGGGCCCTCTTCGAGAGTGCTCTTGATGGCTTCAACTTTCTGACACTCTGTTTTCCAAATCGAGAGAGCCATATTGAGAGGGGGGTGCGGAAACGAAATTGGAGTGGCGTGGAGCGAGGCGGTTTCTCTGAAATTTGCAAAACCGATAGCGGTGGAGCGAGGCGCTATCGTGCTTCCTCTTTCGCTCTGTCAAAACAGATGTAACAGACGTTCAGGAGACTCCATACGTGTATTCTTCTTCTTCTTTTTTTTTTGGGGGGGGGGGGGGGGGGGGGGGGGGGGGGGGGGGGGGTGGAGAGGGGACTACGCGGCGGTCAAAAAAAAAAAGAAAGTGTCTGAAATTGCACTTCAGGCATCCGGCCCAAAAATGTAGAATGTATACAACCTAGCTTTCCGGTCCGGTATTGTCAAGAAGGGGGGGGGCGTGTTATGTTCGGGGGAAAGACTGAAGTGCAAAATTTGCCAATTTCAAAACTGTTTTTGTGACCGCCGCGTAGTTAGTAGTTACCCCCTTTTTTTTTTTTTTTTTTTTTTTAAATGTGTATGGTGGGAAAATTTTCGAAATGCCCCTCCGAAATCCATTTATTTGTGGCATGCCCCTCAACCTGTCTCTTATACACATCTAGATGTGTATAAGAGACAGGCCTAATGTGTGTGTGTGTGTGTGTGTGTGTGTGTGTGT